GTGTTTCATGGGGATGTAGTTACAAGGTGAATTACTGGGTCTTAGGGAAGTGCACCTTGAAACTTAGTGGAGACCCTTTTATCAAACTTATTTAGGAAGGAAGAGGATGAGAATATAAACCTTATTATTTCTTCAGTTTTGAAGGATGAGCAGAGTAAAATGAAAAAGGGCCTGGAATTCTGCACATTTAACATGATCCAGAGACTTGAAAGTTATTAATCATATCCTTTATCAGAGTAGTTTCCTAAAACAAATACTTTATAGTAAATGAATGATTTTTAGCTATACTTTTGCTCTCTAATACTGTTTGGAAGCATTCACATTTCTTTGAAAATTAGGATAACTTTTGTTACTGTGTATGTACATGTTGCTGGAAAAGGAAATGGCAACCCACTCCAATATTCTTGACTGGAAAATCCCATAGACAGAGGAGCCTGGCGGACTGCAGTCCACAGGATTGCAAAGAGTCGGGCATGACTGAGCATGCATGCTCACGTACTCATGTTCCACTTCAAAATCCTCTTTATTTAGAAATGAGAGAAATTTTTGTTTTTCTTATCTTTAAATAACAAATAGGCATCTTAGGCATTTTCTGGAGATTTCCTTTTGGTTTAGTTTAGTGATAAATATCCAGTACATTTCCTGGGTGGTAATGCCCTAGAGAGTTAGCTGGTAATGGTTAAGGCTACTCCGCTGCTGTCAGTTTGAGGTTTTGGGTGTTTGTCTGTTAGACTTGGTTGAGCATATGTGTATCAAAGACTTGGATGGTACAAGTGATTTCAGTTTTATAATGTTTTCCATCCTTAATTTAAAATTTTATATAATGTTAACTTTATTTAATAATCCATTGAACGACATTCATTTATTCATCCAACAACCATTTATTGAGTGGCAGGCCCTCTTCCAGAAGGCATAGCATGGGTATAGGAGTGTGTAGTCAAGTGATGAGGACAAACAGTAGAAACAGGAACACATCAAGGTCAGCTGACTAAATCTAATAATCTCCCCTGTGGTAAAATAGAATCAGAAATGGCATGAGAATGATGGTGGTTTAGGCCGGTCAGGGAACGAACGGCATCTGAGACAGAAGTGCTTTGTATCCTCAATTTTCAGTGCTTAGTTCCTGAAACTCAGTAACTCTTGGTTAAATTTCACTTGAATCCAACAGTTCAGTAATCTTCATTGTTGTTAAGTTGCTGAGTCATATCCAACTCTTTGCAACCCCATGGGCTGACTGCAGCATGCCAGGCTTCCTTGTCCTTCACCATCTCCCAGAATTTGCTCAAACTCATGCCATTGAGTCAGTGATGCTCTCCAACCATCTCATCTCCTGTCGTCCCCTTCTCCTTCTGTCGTCAATCTTTCCCAGCATCAATGTCTTTTCCAGTGAGTTGGCTCTTCACATTAGGTGGCCAAACTACTGGATCTTTACCTTCAGTATCAGTCCTTCCAATGAATATTCAAGGTTGATTTCCTTTAGGATTGACTGGTTTGATCTCCTTACAGTCCAGGTGACTCTCAAGAGTCTTCTCCAGCACCACAGTTAGAAAGCATCAATTCTTTGGCACTCGACCTTCTTTGTGGTTCGGCTCTCATATCCATACATCACTACTGGAAAAACCATCACTTTGACTAGACAGACCTTTGTTGCCAAAGTGATGTCTTTGCTTTTTAATACACTGTCCAGGTTTGTCAGAGCTTTCCTTCTAAGGAGCAAGCATGTTTTAATTTCATGACTGCAGTCACTGTCCACAGTGATTTTGGAACCCAAGAAAATAAAATCTGTCACTGCTTTCACTTTTTCCCATCTATTTGCGATGAAGTGATGGGTTTGGACACCATGATCTTAGGTTTTTGAATGTTGAGCTTTAAGCCAGCTTTTTCATGAAATAAGAGATAATAAAGACTCACAGTAGCCAAAATTGATTTCAGAAAACTGGAGACAGTAAAATGTACTTCCCTCATGGACTGGTCCTTCAGGCCATCATGACAGTGTAGTATAGTAGGTTTCTCTGTCCTCGGCAGAGTCTGTTAAAGATGGAAGTCAGAGTTACAAGCAGTGGTTGAGTGCCTTGATGGCATGTGAGAAGCTGGTTGTGTGGGGCCAGAGTTATTCTGAGCTTTGGTCATACAACTTTTGGAGTTGGCTCTGGGTCATTCCTTGTCTTACAGCTCCGTTCTTCAGTTTATGTTTCTTAACAATGATTGGTTTAAAATGTCAGAAAAACATCTAATAGATTTTTGAAAGCCCTACATCTGAATTGATTTAAAGCAAAAACATTATTGATCATTAAAAAATTAAGACATTAGTTCCTGACAATTGAGGTATTATATTTAGAAATTGGTTTTTAAAGGTAACAGTTAATAATTAGTACTTAGAGATAGCTCTACAACTTGTAATTTAACAACTAATGATAGAATATATGTAGAATTCCAGGTAGAATTATAATATTACTGCTTATAATATTAATATGAATCAATAGAAGAGGTAGCCCCATTTTGCAAATGGAGATGTAAGAGATATCATTATGTGATTGATCATATTCACACAACTAAGGTATAGGAGGACTTGGATTTAGGTTTCATACATTTCTAATACAGAAATTCTGTAGGTAGACAAGCATTTATTTATCTCTATTTGGTTGTAGCTCCCTTGTGAGGACAGTGGGCCACACGCAGTTGCTTGGCTCTAGTCCCCAGGTCTTACAGCCCATCTGTACCATGTTATAAGTTATCCTAAGCTCTCAGAGGGTTAGATGCCAGTTAGTTAGTACCACATAATGGGACCGTGTATCTAAAAGGATAACAAGTAGATTTTTAACTGAGGAAAACAGCAACAAAATCTCCCAAGCAGGTGCTTTTGATGGTTTTCCCCCTGACGTTTATTGGGGTCAGCAGATGGTTGCTACAGATCCATTGTGGAATTGCTTACATCCCCACCCATTCTACCTGCTTCACCTGCACCTGCCTTGCTTCCATGCTTTTCAGAGTTGGGATAGGTAGTTAAAGAAAGTAATAAGCTCATGGCTGCTCTAGTGTTAGGAGACTCCTGCAATATGTCCTCTCGTTGTCTTGCTTAAAAAATAGAGGCCCCCACCCCCTGCCCTGAAACAACACTTCCATATTGTGTGTAAAGGTTTCTGTAAACCAGAAAGTCAACATATTAAAGTGCAATTCATAGGGGAGTTGCTGGCTGTGTTGACTGAGCTTTACAGTCATTTTAACACTGGCAAAGTGTTACCCTAACTGCTTCAAATCAAACTGCAAAGATGCTCGTGTGAAATATAGTATTAGATATCAAATCAAACATATGGGTGTTGAACGAAAGGATATGTGTTGTGGTAGTATATGGTATTCTAGCATGTGGAGTTGTATTTTATGGAAATTCTTTGGCTTGGCTTATGGCAGGGACATACATTCATTATGAGACATCAAGCTGTAAAATAAATAAAAGCAAAGAATTCAACTGTACTGTTGAATGGTTTTCAGTACAAACTTGTCTGTTCTAGTAACTTAGGATCTGTGTGATGAGAAGCATTTGTAAGTCATTGTGGCCAAATGTTTTGTCATCATTGCTAGAAGTTTGAAAATAATCTAGATCGGGTCAAAAGGAGTATGAACTTTAGCATTTTGCAATTTTTTCTTTTTACTTCATAGTACATGTTACAAATTACTGTGCTAATTGGTCTTAGAGGCAAAGTGTTTAATATGTTCCTTACTCTTTTTCCCTCTCATTCAATATTCTGTAGTCAATTTGTTTTTTGAGTATATCTGGAACTGATGACTTAATTCTTAGAAGTATATAGGCTTATGGGGATGAAGTTCTTGGATTTCTCAAATGAACTATATTGTGGTATTAACAGTGACTTCACCGTTCTCCTCCCAGGAGTGCTTTTTGCCATTCCGCTATCTTGTTTTTCTTTTCCTCTCCTATTCTTTCTCTCAGTTAGGGGAGAAAAATGTGTCAGTAGATTTCTGATTTGATAGAACATCAGAAAATAACATCAATAGTGTATTTATTGCATGAGGAAGAACTTTTCTTTGAACAATTTCAATATTTTTTAGGTTCATGTAACTAGAAATAGAGAAGACCCATTTTAGGTCATTCTGTCTATATCTTGGGTATTTGCAGAAAAGGGCTTCCCTGGTAGCTCAGATGGTAAAGAATCGTTCCATTCCTGGGTATGGAGGATCCCCTAGAGAATGGAATTGCAACCCATTCCAATATTCTTCCCTGAAAAACTCCATGGACAGAGGAGCCTGGAGGTCTGTAGTCCGTGGGGTCACAAAGAGTCGGATACAACTGATTGACTAACACTTTGACACTTTTCTTTACATCATTGACTGTGTATCAACTAGGAAAATACTATTCTTGTATAACTATGAATATCTTGCTCATACTGATAGTTATGTTGTTTGATATACATAGTATTGTTTTTGAAATGGGTCTCATTTTATTGTACTTTTTTGTATTTTTATTGTATTTTTTAGCAAAAATAGTAAATGGAATTGCTAATGTAACTGGTATTTGCTAAAATGTAATTGAAGCATTCTGACCTTAGTTGAAACAAACATGTACCCAAATCACAAGCATCCTACAAAATATTAGTAAGGGATCTTGAACTGGAGTTCATTTTCATTTGAGTATTGCATGAGAATGGATTAGGTAGTATAATCTTTCTCTGACTTACTTGGCAGAAGCAATTTTTTTGATGTCAGTATTCGGAGCTTTTTACCCCCTCTGGATTTTTGTGAAATGATCAGTATTTGATATCTGATAAAGTTTTTTTTAAAGCACAGTTAAATTATCTTTTGTCTTCATTGATAGTATGTGAGGAGAAGGCAGTAGGCCAATTTATCTAATGGCGAGAATGTTAAAAATATTGAATTCAGTTGCTTAGCAAAGAACCCACTTCATGTTGCTGAATCGAAACCATACTTGATTTTATTGAATTGCATGTTTAGACTTTCTCTCATTTGCCCATCTTGACTCTTGACAGATGCCACCTCAGTACGGACAGCAGGGTGTGAGCGGTTACTGCCAGCAGGGCCAGCAGCCTTACTACAACCAGCAGCCACAGCCTCCGCACCTTCCCCCGCAGGCACCCTACCTGCCCTCCCAGTCCCAGCAGAGGTACCAGCCGCAGCAGGTGAGAGCATTTCTGGTCCCCAGGCCTCTGTCCTGTGTTCAAAGGCCACCCCAGGTTCTGAGACATCTTCCTGTCCCATTTAGAGAATTTCTGTTCTCAGTGGGAAAAAATGAAGTTTTGAGAAAATGCAGAACTATATCCTAAACTGTTTGTTTATGAATGGATGGTTGAGATTGAAGGGTGGGAAGAGTGACTAGCTTAATAGCTTCTTACATTACCGGTTAGTGACAGCAGAAAATGTCAGTCATTTCATGTTCTTTGTCATGTGTATTCCGAATCTTTCAAGAAAGTGCTCTGTCACTTTGTTGAGGCTTGTTCAGGAAAATGGTTTTATTGATCATTTAATCTTGCTAGTTGGCATATACATGGTGTTTTTATCTTGAGCTTTCTTTTGATTTGTTTTAATGGTAAGTGCTACTGTATCAAAACATTGTTGCCTTTGGCAGTATTATTCTTCCTAAACTAGCTTATAAGCAGATAGTCACTTCAATTACAATATATTAAAATACTAAAGGGAATCGTGTACTTTGAGTATGTTAAACAGTTTCTAGTTTAAATTAGCCTCATTAAATACTCTTTGAGGTTATTGGGCTACATATTTCAGCTTACATGATGTGTTGAAAAAAAGTACATGTGCTTTGGGTACAGTGATTCAGTTTCATCTTGTTTTAGAGATTGTCACCGAAGATAGTAAAAGGCATCATGAACTCAGGACCTGTACTCTGAATTCAAATAGAACTTTCATAGCACTTTCAGTCATAAGCATCAAATTGTAATTTTGCATTTTCCTCTCTTCCTTTTTTTTCTTTTTTGTGGGTGGGAGTGGTAAAGATAGGGGAAGACAGCGGCATTGACTGTTCAGTCTTCAAAATGATTCCTAGACAGCTTAGAGTGACTGCTGATGCTAGGCAAAGTATATAAATATATGAAGCTTAATTTTAACAAGTTTGGCCAATTTCTTAAGTGTTTTATTAGATTCTTTGTAGGCTTTTTCCATGTGATTTTTGTTTAAGAGTTCCAGAAAGAGTTTATAGCTTTAAACAAAACAGTGTAACAGCTAAGATTGAAGATGCTATAGAATCTTGTGTTTTGCATATGTGTTTGCAAAATTTAAAGCAATTTATAGATGTAGGAATGTACATTATTTCAAAGTTATTTAGTCTGTTCTTTAATTAAAATCAGGAAAATTAAATAACCTTATAATACCATTTCTTTTTAAGTGATAGACTGGTATCTGGGTTTATAATATATAAGGTTAAAGATTTTTTCATGGGTTTTCAGAGCCTTAGTGAACTTCTCTGTAGACAAAATGTTTTGTCATGTTATCAAAGTTTAAGAAGGACTCAACAGAGATATTGCATTACTCATTTTACTTCAGTGTGCTAAAATGAATCTGATAATAAAACCAATTTGGTTAAGGATTCTGAGTGCCTGCCATTTCCTTCAAGACCAAATTCAAAATTTATTTCCTTCATGAAGCATTCACGGATGACCTCTTACACATGGCAGTTAGTTATGTAATACCCTTTATATTTAAATATTTAAAGCATACTACAGGTAAAATCTTATTTTGATGAGTACTATTCAAATGTGCTTAGTTTAGATCTATTTTATGCTTTGAGCGATACTACCATTGTTTTATTGACTTGAATACAATAAACTATATGTCAGGAAGTACTGTATAAAAATGACTCGATGTAAATACTGTCTTTTTTTTTTTTTTTTTATATTCTGAGGAAAGTCAATTTTCCCAAAGTATATTGGAATTTTTTTCTTGTTTTCAGTATAAAATGTCTAAATATTTTTTAAGTTTCTATAGACTTTCGGGATAAAGAAGTGGAAATCAGAGATATTTAGGGATCCTAATCAGAGGGTCTGGTTATACAGGAACAGTTTTGACTTTTAAGGAGTTAGATATTTATATAGATTGGGGAAGTTTATCTCGGAAATGACATCTAGCATTTTCCATTTAGTTAGTACCTCCAAAACTAGAATAACAACCCCCCCCCCAATCTATCCCAAAACAAAGTAAAAATAACCACTAGAATATCTTCAAAATCAATCTAACTTTTAGTAAGAATTTTTAATACTGAGTTCACATTTAAAAAACAAAGAAACTCAACTGTTTTGATGTAAGAAGCTGATGTTTCATGGCAGACAGAGCATTCCTTCCTGTAGACTCTCCTTTTCTTTCTAGACACAGCATGGTAGTCTGCTGATTTTTGAACTAGGAGATCATCAGAAAGTATAGGAGATCATCAGAAAGTATTACTTTGTGTCTTTTGTTAATGTGAATGATGTAAAAGTTAATTTTAGAGTTCCATTAAGATACCTACCTTTGTTTCTTTAACATTTTATAATGTGTAATGTTTTGAATAATCAATACATTCCCATATGTAAAAAATTAAAAAGTATAAGGAAATGATACAGATCCGAGTCTCCCACCACAGTTCCTCTTGCCTAGCTCACCAGCAAGCTCAGCCTTTGCTAGATAACCACTTTATTATGTTTCTTTAGTTTCTTACCAAGAAGCAAAATACCATATTTTAATTGTTAGCTCTATTTTCACACAAATGTTGGTACACCGTAATATACTATAAACATTCTTCTGTTCTTTATCACTCCCCTTCCCCACCCACTTAAATAAATATATGACAAAAAAAATAAGTCATCCTTCATTCCTTTTTATAGCTTCATTCATTTTATGGACATTTCATAATATATTTAACCGGTTCCCTTTCAGTGGGCATTTAGGTTATTTTTAGTTACTTTCAGTTCAGACAACTCTGCCATGATGCTTTGTGTTTGTGTCAGTTCGTAAAAGTTCAAGTGTATCTGTCAGATAAGTTCCTGGCTGTGTCAGTGGGTACATGTGGTTGTAATTTTGCTAGATTGTTCCTCTCAAGGGTTGTACCAATTTATACTCCAACCATTGATGTATGAGAGTACCTATACATGTCCCAGTAGCGTGATTTTAAGAATTTTCTGAATTTTTACATAGTCTCTTTTTTATGAGTTTAGTTAAATTCTGTGTTTTACTTTGACTCTGTCTTACTGTTTATCCGATGAAGCCAAACAGAAGACTAAAAATTTTCCTCTTAAGTATTCCTTTGCTTAAGTCTCTCAAATTTTGATATGTGTTATTTTTATTCTCTTTTAGTTCTAAGAGTTTTCTTACTTCCCTTCATTCATATTTTAAAGACTGTTTTATTGAGACCTGGGTTCCTGTTTTATTCCCTCAGAAGGATTGGTGTATGCTTTTGCCATTTGCTTGTGGACACTAGTCATTAGGAATCATATTTCATATTTTATTTTCTAAAGTTTTATTATATAAAGAGATCTTAGTAGACTGATAAACAGTGATAGAATGAACACTCACATGCCAACATAAATTCCTGCATGTACTAGCCTAGCCATATTCAGATAGCCCCAATTATCATCAGAATGCCTTTAAAGTTCATTCATTTCAAGCCAGATTCAAACAACTGTTAATACATTGATTTGATCCTTACACCGTTTTATCTGGATCAGTTCTGTCTTACCCTACTCCCATTCATCCCCTTGGTGTGTTAAGAAAAAACTTGAGTTGGTTTTCCTATGAAGTGGCTTTGTCTGGATGTTTTCCCTTGATGTGGCTTAATTTGTTCATCCAGCCCTTCTATTTCCTATAGATTGCAAGTTAGATCCACAGGCTTGAAGTTAAACATTTTTATTTGTGATTATTGTAAATCATGTCCTCAGCATTTAGGTCCTGCTTCTGTTTAGTGGAGGGGTCCATGACCCTCCCTTTGAGAGAAAGAGCCTCCAGTGGTTCCAGCCCCAGGCTGTCTGGTGACCATCAGCTGTCTTCCAGCTGAGGGGTAGAGCCATTATGATGAAAATAGACCTTCCCTTTTGGACTCTGTCCAGATTACTCACCCACAGATTCTGTGAGACTAATGCATGCTGCTGTCTTTAGGCCACTAAGTTTGGGGTGGCATGTTATACATCGGTACTGACCGATATGATTTGAATACTTCATAGGTGATGCTGTGAGAGTATTACATCAGGAGATACACATCCTAATATTTTGTTGTCCTACAACAAATGGTGTTAAGATTGATTGGTGGGTTCAGGTGGTACGGCCTCTGGGACCATTTTAAATGGAATTCTCTTCTTGAGGTTTTATAGAGTGCACCATTAAGTGTTAATTTTGACCAGAAACCCTGGTCATGGTTAGCCTGTGGTTGCTAATTCTCAAAGGAGTCATTTAAAAATTCTTCCTTCCTCTCAGTATCAAGTTCAAGATAGGTATTTTTCTTTTCTCTGTAGTGAATGCTCTTACATGATGGATATAGCCCTTTTTAGTCCCTTGTTTATTTTAGAGGTATCGTCCCATATTTTGCTCCTTTTTGGTGGCCCTAGATTCCTCCTTTCTTCTGTTCCCTGTATAGTCATCAGATGGAAAGTTAAAATCTGTAATAGAATTCAGCTTCTTTTGCTCCCTTACTTTCCATGTTCTTGGTTTACTTTATGTGTTCTTGGTTTCACTCACATTCATTCCCGGTTTGTGATCCATTTAAAAAGGCATGTTTCCCAGTGTGTTCAGTATTTCAGTTACAGACATTTATAGTATCCAGTCTGCCACACTACTAGAACTGGTACTCTTTTCTGTTTTCTAGTTGTTTATTTGATGTCTTTTATGTAATTTAAAACTATATAAATATGCAATTTAATAAGTAATTTAGAGCATATTAATTTGATGTTGTTGTTCAGTTGCTCAGTTGTGTCCGACTCTTTGTGACCCCTTGGACCGCAGCACGCCAGGCTTCCCTGTCCTTCAGCAAATTGAAACTTTCCTACAGCCTCCTTTTTCTTTCAAAATATAAAGAATATGTTATAAAAAATATAAATGTTATAAAAAAGAATACGTTGCCTACAAAAAATTCATAGATACTCTGTTACTATGTTACACAAAATTTTAAACAAGGCAGAAAAATGCACTAACTGTATGGAAAAGT